TGTGCATGTTGGTGCTTAGAACCTAAGGATTGTGCATAATTATGCTTAGCATCTTTAGGTTTGTGCATGTTGGTGCTTTGCAATCTAATTAGCCACTTTAACCTAGCTTAGAGAGGAAAATCCCCCTTCCAAGGGAGACTCAATCGAGTTGGTTTTCCTTTAGCTTTTTAAGCCACCTAACAAGGTTAATTTAGGGCAAACCTCCATGTTGAATTAGGCAAATTGGTTAAGCGCGATTAAGCCGTCCAACCCTTGAGTTGAGTGAGGGAGTAAGTCAACCACCAATTGCCTAAACCGAGAGGGCCGAGTGACACGGCCTATAATGTTTACCTCAGTTTAGCAATTGAGATTGTGGTCTACGACCATATTAGCATCCCTCTGCAGTTCACGGTTACCTTGCCCATATCAATCGTTTCAATCCAGCGAGTCACGGTAGCTAGTTAGGTGGAAGTAACTCCTGGGTGAAACTTCCTTAGTTAGAGTTTTCCTTTATTTACTTTTCTTTGCTTGTTTAGTTTGTAGTTTCTTAGTTTGAAACTCCAAAACTGTTTTACTAGATAACAACTTAAGTGATTGAAGTAGGGGTACATGGATCGGCCCGGGTTGACAATTTGAATACTTGCTCTATACTGCACCCGGCTAGAGTTTAAAAACTTGGGCTCTAGTCGGGATTAATTTGTGGTGTAGTTTTGTGCGAGTCATCTAGCACAATTCACACTTAGCATATATTGTAGGATTTCCAAACTACATAGAAGTCCTTATTCAAGTTTTCTAATCCCGCCCAATTGAAATCGTATTGGGGATTACAAAAATTTAGGGTTCAAATGAATTTGGGACGAATAGACTGAGGAAGGAGATGAGAAAGATAAAAGATTTTGTGTCTTCGACACTCGTCCCTTAGGCTCCTTTAGTTTGGGCCCAAGTATTCACCAAGCCCACAAATAGAATTAATTAAATAAAAGACAATATGGGTTGAAGGGTGGTCAGGCCCAACTAGAGGACTAAACCATAACACCCCTGTAACTCGTATTCTTCCTCGGACAAAAGTCCTTAGAGACATAGTATCAAATGAAAATAGAGTACTAAGGAAAATGCTAGAAGTACACAATAGGAAAGTAAATGGATACAAGAGTTTTAACGAGGTTCCCAAACTACTGGTCAGTCCTTGTCCTAGAACCAGTACCCACGAGGAGACTCTTTTTTATTTAGTTTTTTTTATCAAGCAAGGGACTCAAGAAGATTCCATACTCAAAAAAAGAGAAAACTCAAGTTGAATAATGTAGAACACCCAGATCCCAAATTCTAGACCCGTTTACAAGCGTCAATTTGATAGAACATTTTCCTCTATCACAATTGACCCTCTTTTCCCAGATGCCCTATAACGTTTTCCTCAAAGATGCTTGTTATAGCGAAGTGCACTGGTTTATACACCCTTCTCTTTTCTGACCGTTGTATTTAATTTTTTTGCCGAACCAGAGAAGGAAATTTTGCGCTATCTTCCTTCCTTTTGTAGAGCAACTATGATTTGGAAAGTCGTTCAACAATCTCATTTTAAATCATAAGTGCAAAAAAAAAAAATACTTCTTTTCGACCAAAAGACATTTAAGATATTCATGTGAAAAGGCAATCAACATAACGATAGAAAATATCAAGTTCCAACAGTCTGTGACCAAAACAAAAATAATCCAAAAGATCACATCCAACCGAATCGAACCAACATCTCACAAGATTAGCTCCCCTTAAGAAATCTAACTGGAAAGCAAGAGAACAACCTTTAGATGAAGGCTCCCCTTAAGCATCACATCATCGGCTTCAGAACCATATTCCTGCATGGCCTGAAGTGCCGCCACAAAAGGCTCCAGGTCCATCGTTTGCGCCACTGCTGTCACTGTCAATACTAATAGGGTGTTAATACACGAGAAGATAAGTTTATATAACACCAATTTGGGAATTCCTACAGTCTGGGATTGGTAAATCGCATTTGTATTGTGTTAGGTTGATTCTCATAACGAGCTAGGGGGATTCGAAACTAAACAACTCTTTATTTGCTTGGTTTTATCGTTGGTAAATTGCGTTGTAGTTCGAATTTTGTGCTTTAGTAGTTAATCTTAATTAAAACACAAACACTAAAAGATCCAATGTGATAATATGAAATATAACTCATTACTAGTAGTCATTGTCCCTCTAGATGCGACCTTGCTTGCCACTGTATTCTTCTACGACATGTACACTTGCCTTAGTTAGTCATACTTGAAAAGAGACGATCATCGCCGGACCTCTCAAAAGATCTTCTTGACCAGATAACAATGGCGGATTCAGGGTTGGCCACGTCGCAGTCCTCCTCTGGGTCCAGATCTAGTATAGTGTATTAATTTTTTGATTTTAGGTATTTGGCCCAGTGCTATTTAAAAGTTGGTACAATGTTATCTTATGATAAGATTTTGTGTAACTAGAAAAATGGTTCAAATGAACATATCCAAACCACTACTCTACATTTAACCTAAAAATTGTAGCCCCAATGATTTTCATATAATAAAATAAGACGCAATAAAACCTAAAAGTTTTACATGTAAAAAACTAGAAGTAAAAAGTTTCATTAAAATAAAAAACCTGTAAACTAAACATCGCCCTTCTGTGTCGGAACTCAAAAAATTCCCCTAGCCCCCAAAAACAATATAAGAATGAGGGGACAAACGGACTCGAATTAAATTCTGCCACCAATTTGTCGGACGTTGGTTTTCTTTCCATTACTCTTTTGATGAAGAAAATATTTACAAATTTGCTGAATCATTATTTAGATTTGCTTCAGTTGAGTAGTGCACTAGATCATAAAATTCTTTTTGGTCTTTTGATGAAGAAAAAATTACAAACTTGTTCAAGAGTGTATCCTCGAGACTTTGAAGGCTCTTAGATGCATTCTTTGAAGAATGAGCTACGATATTGCTGCTCATGTGGTTCGTAGTCAGGAATATGAAGTTCCTTCACTTACAAAATTACTAGAGAAGGTGGGGGAAACAAGGATAGACACACAATACAAATTGATTTGTCAGTTGATTCGTTTAGTGTTAACCTAGTCCGTCTCAACGACTACTACTAAGAGAACATTTTCAATAATTAAACATGCAAAAATTATTGCGTAACAAAATGAGCGATGAATTTCTTGATGATTGCTTAAATATTTTCTTTTAGGGAGTATGTTATTGGTATGGATAAAGACTCCAATATTGATGAATTTGCTAAATTAAAAGACAATCATGTACAATTGACATTATAATGAAAACTAAAATTAGAATATATTTTTGTTTATGGTATCTAATTTTCTATTCAAATGCGATATGTCCCAGAACAAATAATTGCAACAATATTCTATATGTAGGTTTTCCTGTGTAACCTTGTTTTCTTTTTTATTCGATGGTGGATAAAAGTGAACTTCTGTGGGGAAAAAGGTGAGGTAGATTGACCGAGGAAAATTACTCTTTCATCTTTGGTGGTAATTTCTAGGACGGAAAAACTAATGGCTTGAAAAGTGAAAACTTAGGGATGGCAAATTGAACCCGTATCACTGGGTATCATCTGATCTGATTCGTCATGAGGCAGATATTACACTACCCGTAGTAGCATGGGACGAGACATGAATATCTGATCTGCGCTGTTCGCAGTAGCACGGAGGAGAGGCTTCTCGCCCGCCACATTCCGTTCTGGGATCATTTTATCTCAATTTCTCACATTATCTATTATATTTCTCCTATTTCGACCTTTTTTTAAATCTAATTAGACTTGATCTTTCGAGTAGTTAGACGCAATTTAGTATCACTATTTTTCATTCATAAAGTGTTTTTCATTCGTTTTATCATAAAAAGTAAAAATTTGCGTGCATTTTTTTCAAATAACATGTAAGAGTGAGTCGACTCGTTCCGTCTCATACTCATACGATCGACGCATAGTACCTCGAACGGGACATGGATATGAGATACCCGTTCGGCTCGCACATTGGGGTTAAGATCAGGTGACTAAGGGGGGTCCCTTAGTCACCTGACTAAGTAAATTCCAAGCCTTACACTTCATTAAAATCCAATGGTTCAGATTAATCCAATTTAATGAAGAACAATGTAGTAATTACACAATTTATTCATTAAAATTAAAATAAAAATATGTTGGGCCCACCAGCGGAGCTGTCCGACTTCCACCCATGGGTCGATTAATTCTCCCCTGCGGAGAGCTTCCCGAGCGGTGGCTTTGGGGATATGGGCACCATATTTCTGCTGTATGAGAGAGAGAGGGAGGGAGAGACCAGTTTTATAATGTTTGTCGAACTATTTTGTAATGTTTGTATCGATTCTGTTTGTATCGTTTATCATTCTAGTTTGTAATGTTTATATGACTATTTTGTATATATTGCAATTTGTAATGTTTGTGTTGTCTAGTTTGTATATTTTTATGGAATGATTTGTATGCTTTGTATTTATTGATTTGTAATACAAGTTTACTGTTTTGTATTGTAAGTAGTGGCATTTTGTACTGTTAGTATGTTTTGTAATGTTTGTCGGTCTAGTTTGTATTGTTTGTATGTTTCATATTGGCTTAATTGCAAGTTTGGTCACTCGAATTGCTTAAAAATTTTACGTTTGCCACCCGAATTGATTTATTCCATTTATAGTCACTCGAATTAGTTAAACAGTCCAAGTTCGGTCACTCTCCGTTAACCTCCGTTAGGCTCCGTTAATGACGTCCGTTAAGTGATGACGTGGCTAACAGAAAGACACAGTCAGCACATTTAAACATTAAAAAAAGACGACCCAACCCGACCCGCCAACTCAGCCTTACCCGCCAACTCAGCCTTACTTTCCCAACCCAAGAACCAACCCAGCCTAATTCACCCTAAACCCAGACCCGAGACCCAACCCCCCCCCCCCCCCCCTGAAAATTAAATCGCAGGTGGATTAGGGCATTTCCCTTCCTCCATCTTCATCCTCTCATCCTCCCGCGCCGCCTCTCTCCTGTGCAGAAGCAGAAGCCCCCTCCCCGTCTTTCTCTCTCTCTCTCCCTCCCTCGTTCGTGTTCGTTCTTCCTCACCTATCAAATTTGAATAAGAAAAGGAAAGGCAGGAAGGGGGAAAAAAGAAGGGCAGTCCTTCTTTTCTTCTACAGGTGTGTTCTTCCTTTCTTTCTTGTTTTCTCCTCTCAACTGAAACAAGAAGCCCAAAGCATAAAGAAATGGGGTCGGAAGGCAAGATGGCGAGGAAACCCAGGTTCCTGTGCCTGCATGGGTTCAGGACCAGCGCAGCAATCTTGAAGAAGCAGCTCACCATCAAATGGCCGGAATCCTTCCTCCAGAACCTCGATCTAGTCTTCATCGATGCCCCTTACCCCGCCGAGGGTAAATCAGAGGTCGAAGGGATCTTCGACCCTCCTTATTACGAGTGGTTCCAATTCAACAAGGTACCCAATCCCAATTCCTCTGTTTTTATGTCTTTTTCTTGAACTTCTGTCGTATTCAAAACTTTCTCCGGGCTGATTGTTGCAGGAGTTCACGGAGTACAGGAATTTTGAAGAGTGCTTAGCTTACATAGAGGAATTAATGATCAAGCATGCTCCCATTGACGGCCTTCTCGGTTTCTCATAGGTTCGCCTCTCTCCGGGAGGATGAGAGGATGAAGATGGAGGAAGGGAAATGCCCTAATCCACCTGCGATTTAATTTTCAGGGGGGGTTGGGTCTCGGGTCTGGGTTTAGGGTGAATTAGGCTGGGTTGGTTCTTGGGTTGGGAAAGTAAGGCTGAGTTGGCGGGTAAGGCTGAGTTGGAGGGTCGGGTCTTCTTTTTTTAATGTTTAAATGTGCTGACTGTGTCTTTCTGTTAGCCACGTCATCACTTAACGGACGTCATTAACGGAGCCTAACGGAGGTTAACGGAGAGTGACCGAACTTGGACTGTTTAACTAATTCGAGTGACTATAAATGGAATAAATCAATTCGGGTGGCAAACGTGAAATTTTTAAGCAATTCGGGTGACCAAACTTGCAATTAAGCCGTTTCATATTGTTTGTAAATCAGTGTGTATGTTTTGTCGCTTTAGTTTGTACTGTTCGTATGTTTGTATGGTTTGTACTGTTTGTAAATCCGGTTTGTATATTTCGCAATTTTCCATAATACCCAAACTACTCTTGTTATAAATTAAAAAGCCTTTCCCACTTTTTAACCGTCAGATTTGTGTATGCAGATCTAGAGGTTGGAAGTAGACCTGGCAATCAGGTCGGGTTGGGTAATTTCGGGTTGAAGACTTCGGTTACGGGTCGGGTCATGTTTGGTTGGCTGATTTAGGGTCAAATATCGACCCAACCCATTCGGTTTTGGGTCGGTTACAGGTCATTTCAGCTTATTAGCGTTCTCAGAAATAATATCAAACATGCTTCATATTTTCTTACATAACACAAATTTTCACATATGCATGACAATAGTTTACCTAACACATGTCAATTAACATATTCTCAAATTCTCCCATGCTAATGAAATGAAATACAAATTGCGCAATTCGTCAAAAAACAATCACAAGAGTAATACTACTACAAGAAACACATGATATTTGATAATCCTTAAACTCCAAAACATGTCATTCAAATCCTTGTGATTTTTTTAAACATCTCACCAATTTATGAGTGATTTTATCATTTTGGGATTGATATATAAAATGAAACGGGTCTAACGGATCGACCTTGTGATTTTTTTAAACATCTCACCAATTTATGAGTGATTTTATCATTTTGGGATTGATATATAAAATGAAACGGGTCTAACGGATCGACCTGCTAACCCACCCAATCCTACCCAAAAAATCACGGGTTATCGGGTTCGGGTCATTCGGATTCCAGATTACAAAAGTTTCTAGTTTTCGGACGGTTTTAGATCGACTCAACGGGTCGGGTTTTAATCTGCGAGTTGAAAGGTGCAGTCAAGTAGGGATGACAACAAAACCCGAACCTACGGGTACCCACCCGACCCAACCTGGTCAACGCGGGCAAAATCTGTGTTGACGGGTTTTGGGCCGGGTTTGGGTTTAAACCCGTTCACTATTCACCGGGTTGGGTTGGGTTTGGGTTTAGGTAAACCCGGCCCGTGGGTACCCGCCCACTCATATAATTAATTTTTTCGGTATATTTAATATTCTAAACAACTATTCTTATTTATGTTTGTGGAGACATGTCTAATTTTTTCTTTTTAATTGTGTAGAATGAAGTTGATGTTATGGAGTGGAGACTAAAGAAACTTAATTGAAAGAAAGAAGCTTTCAATTAAACATGTTATTTATGGATAATTTGTGATTTTCTTCAATTTTCATGAGTTTTCTAGATTGGTGTTGAACAATTTGTATAGTTAATTTGTGATTTGCTTGAATTTTCTAGAATGGTGTTTTATATATGGATAATTTATATTGAGAGATTGATATTTGACTTTAATTTTGATAAGAACTTGTAATTGTAAAATTTTTACGACAAAATCCGTGGGTACCCATGAACCCACGGATACCCAACGGGTTGGGTTGGGTTTGAGTTTTTCAAACCCGGTGGGTTTTACCCCGAATTTTTTCAAAAATAAACCCATGGGTTTGGGTTTGGGTTTGACAAAACCCGACCCAACCCACAACCCGGCCCATTGCCATCCCTACAGTCAAGTGACCCCTTAACCCTTTAATAAGAGGATCCGGTACCCCGCACATTGGCAACCCACAAATAAAATTTGATCGAAAAGAGAAAAAACTCTGCCCGCGGAGAATACACCAGAGAGAGCCGGTTTGGGAGCTGTTGCTGGCTGCCTCTTCTCTGATTTCTTGCTCGACTGTTATTCTGTTAGTTCCCCTGCCGGTCAATTTCGATTTCGTCTTCGTCGGGTGACATTCATCTACTGCTCCGAGGGGCACCCACGGTCTCCAAGGGCGACGCCAATCTGACCTAGTGCTAATTCAAATTCTATTTTATTCGCGGGGGCGACCAATCGATCGATCTCGGTTGCCGCCGGCTGAGGCGACGCCTCTTGCTTTCTCTTCGTCAGACTCTACGATGAATGTTTCTTCTTCTCCAGCCTTTTCTTCGCTGACTTCACAGGCGCTGCCACTTTCTACCCCTTCTTCTTCTGCTTCTTCTTTGTCCGATTTGGTACCTGGAAATCATGGGGCTGACGTCTCAATGTCTATTCAACCTAGCCCTATTGACCCTGCGGCGTCATCCGTAGTTCAGCAGAGGCCCGCCGCCGCCGGCCTGCCGCCTCCTGGAGCTGTAGTTACTCAGCAAATGTACCCTGGGTTTCCCTCTTTCCAACCTCCTCCAATGGCTGCACCCGCGGCGGCTCCTCCGCCACAAGGTATTTGGTTGCAGCCAATGCCACAACAAGTTCCTGGCATGATGCGGCCGCAGCCACCGTTTCTGCCGTATGCTCCGCCTGCCGTTTTCCCTTCCGGTCATTTTCCTTTGCCAGGACCTGGAAACCCTAGCCTAAACCCCCGCCCTTTTCCTGGCGTTTTACCGGTGCCAAGTATGGGTGTGAATTTTCATATTGTTCCTCCTCCTGCGACTTTGCCGACGGCTTCAAGTCAGCAGTTTGTGCGGCCGCCAGGGACCCAGACAGAATTAACTCCTCCAGGAATTGGTATGCCCAGGATTCCAATGTAAGGAATTGGTTATTTTTCGTTGGAGTAGTTCGGATTGAGCTTTTTCATCCTCAGTTTGGCATAATTTTTTGCAGAGAGCAACAGACATTCCCTTGACCCTGACATGAAGGGTAATGGTGCTCCTAATGAAGCGTCAGATGCTTGGACTGCTCACAAGACTGACACCGGAGTTACATACTATTACAATGCTGTGTCGAGAGTATCCACTTACGAAAAACCTCCTGGTTTTAAATCGGAGGTATGTTTAGTATCGCACCTATACCATTCAACTGAAATTCTCTTTATATTAACAACACTACAAAGATCGATGCCTAGCGAGATTTAACAGTCTATATTAGCTTTCTTGTTTGAATTTTGATGGTTTTGTTTGTTCTTCGGTCTGCATGGATGCAGTCAGATAGAGTTGCGGGTCAGCCACTTCCAGTATCAATGTAAGTTGCTTACCTACTTATATGGTTATCACTTTTTTCCCCACAGGAACTGAGACATGTGTTTCTTTGGTTATTTCTGCATCAAACTTTGATAATAGAACTATGGAAGGCAGGCAACTTGTTTGTGGGAGGTAGCGTTGCTGCCATTTTTTAATCATTAATGAAATTAACCAATCATGACCAAAGTGACTTCTTTCTGGTATTGACATTGCTCACGGCTGTGAGCATTGTAATAATCTGGTTAAATATTCCTGTCGTTTTTCTCATTCAAGTTTCAAACATCTGATCCACTTCTCAAGCTATTGAATCCAACTGGCATTTGTCTTTGCGTCAACATATCCCTTAAACTCTAGCTTCTCTTATTTTGGCTGATCTATAGTTCCATTATCTTGTGATTTTCACTGGAATTGATAATAGTTTGTAGAGCTTCATTCCTTTTTGTTTCTAGGGCCACATCACACAAGCATTTTATATTCTTATCAACAGCTGACTTATACTCTTGCCTTTCCTGTTGTGGCTTGATTATTTTGTTTTGACTCATATATAGTTCCATTTTCTCATTATCTGTCGAGTTTTTGGATTGACTCTTAATCATGAATTTTGGAGCTTCATACCTTCTTATTTGCAGGGAGAATTTAGCTGGGACACATTGGGCCTTGGTCACCACAAATGACGGAAAGAAGTATTACTACAACAACATAACAAAGGTGGGATTATATATAAGCATCTCAAACTGTGATGGGAGTTTCCCTCAGTTCATCCGTTTCAAGAAAACAGGAGATGTTGAAGTGGTATATACGAGTTAGACATAGATCATTCTGCAAGCTTCTGCTTGCAAGTTTACTTTCAGAATGAAAAGCTGGCCTATTTGGATAGGCCTACCTTGTGAATAATTTTAATGGTGTTGAAAGTGTTAATAAAGTTTATGACCTGCTGTATGAGAAGTTCCCTTTTTTATTATTTTGTTGTGTTTTTAAATTTACTATGTAAGATTGGGGCCTACAATTATATGTACATGTAGTGTGCATGCGTTATGTGAAGTTTTGTGTGACCATGTTAGTGAAAGTAGGTAGCAAGTCCTTAATCCTGATCTTTGGGGTCTGTTAGGTATGTAATACAACTTGCATTCCATTTCAACCAGGTAAGCAGCTGGCAGGTCCCAAATGAGGTGGTGGAATGGAGAAAGAAGCAGGATGATGTGTTAAAAGAACAAGCAATGCCAGCCCCACAGGCTAATGTCTCCACTGATACAGGATCTACTACAGTCAGTTTAAGTACTCCGGCAATTACCACTGGTGGCCGTGATGCCTTGGCTTTGAGAGGCACAAGTATGCCAGGGACATCATCTGCATTGGATCTGATAAAAAAGAAGCTGCAAGACTCTGGATCTCCGGTAACTTCATCCCTTGCTCCAGTTTCATCAGGAGTACCAACATCTGAATCTAATGGTTCAAAAGCTGTTGAAGCTGCTACAGCTAAGGGCATGCCGAGTGAAAGTAGCAAAGACAAACTAAAAGACACAAACGAGGATGGTAACATGTCAGATTCGTCATCAGATACAGAGGAAGACAATGGGCCAACAAAGGAGGAGTGCATTGTACAATTCAAGGTGTGTGTTTTTCCCCCTCATCTGGATTCAGCAATATTTAGGGAATCAGAAAACGTCAACTGTATGCCCTTAATTTTGCTAACTATGGTTGCTGAAGCAGCAGTAGACGCTATAATATATTCCCCCTTTCTGTAATGCGCAGGAGATGCTCAAGGAAAGAGGGGTGGCACCATTCTCAAAATGGGAGAAGGAGCTGCCGAAGATTGTGTTTGATCCACGTTTTAAGGTTTGCCGAGCCTAAGTAATTATGATCAGTGTTGTTCATTACTTGTAGTGTACCGAACCTCTTTGAAGCATGTTTGGTGGATTTCTGTCTATGAAGTTTGGGTATGGATTTTCGTGTCACCTAGAACCTTATAGAATTTATCTAATTAAGCCACTCCTACATATTCAAGTTATATTCAGTATATTGGCGTCTGAATCATGTGTTCTTAAACTTGTGAACAAGCAGCCACTAGGGCCATCTTGTTGCTTTATGCAATGCGGAGTCTGTTGTTGATGTATTTTAAATTAATCACAATAAATGACTGAAGATTGTTAGTTAACTTGAGAAAAAATAGGAGTTTGTTTGATTGAATGCTGTTTTAACAGACAGCATTAGCCGAATAAACTTTTTCGATTCCATATGATAGTGACTATGTTTCTGTTGGCTATTTGTCTATGCATATCATCCTTTCTGCTGTACTCCTTTCACTCTCGTGTACATGGTTTTGGATTCTGTGTGCTCACCACCATGAACTGATTCATTTCTATCCGTGGTGGTACTTAGATCTCCATTTGCTTGGAAGCTTCTAGGTTTTCCATATTATGTAGGATGTCTCTTGTGCTTTTCCTATCTTATGATATCTTCTTCTTTTAATTATGAGTTACTTTTGTGTTACTCTGTCATATTCCGTTAAACTTGTTCAATATTGTTCCAGGCTATACCAAGTCATTCTGCTCGGAGGTCCTTGTTTGAGCACTATGTGAAAACACGTGCTGAGGAGGAGCGCAAGGAGAAACGTGCAGCTCAGAAGGCTGCAGTAGACGGATTTAAGCAGTTACTAGAAGAAGCATCAGAGGTCCCGTTGATGGCAGTGAATTGAAGTGCCATATCTCCTTCAACTGTTGGAATCTTTTCGCTCTGAAATCGTATAGAAATAGATAATTTACCTGATATGTTTGGATTTTTCAGGATATTGACCAGTATACTGATTATTATACTTTCCGGAAGAAGTGGGGGAATGACCCAAGGTTCGAGGCCCTTGACCGTAAGGACAGAGAGCATTTGTTGAATGAAAGGTATCATTTGCTGACAACTTGGATCTTATGTAGCCAGTCAGCCTCCAATGGTTGTTTGCCCTTTGTTATGTTTATTTATTGCATGCTTACTTATTAGGTTATAATGAATGATCTTTAGGTTCGTCGTTGCTTCTTTCTAGGAGTCTGGCGTCATTATTGTCTAATGGTTTGGTTGTGTACATCCTTGTCCTTTCAGTGCCTCAGATGATTTGCATAAAATGCCCTAGTTGTTACTTGGAAACTCATTTGTGTCTTTATGCATTGTCATGAAAGGGTTTAGTTATTCTCCTCAAACATCACTGACCGTTTTCCCTTTGGCATAGTATTTACTGGATTTTCCCCCCAAGGTCCTTGGAATCTGGATGTACTATTTCATTTGAGAATCTATTCTGAGGGGTCATTTGGAAGTTCAAATTGTAAATTAGTTGACTTGATAAGTTTTTAATTTCAGTTGTAGTCAGGGTTAGATTTGGCAGATGATGGAAGTATATTGGTTACAATTCCAAGCTGCAATCTTTCTTGGAAAATGATTCAGGCGATTTTACATGTCTAAGATATAAGGATGAATCGATTTTGACAATAGCAAGATTGTTCCCAAAAAGCTCACAACCTAAAAAAGATTTTAACGCTCTCATCTGAACCTTGTTTCACAAGTATTATTGGACATCATCTTCTTTAAAGGAGTATTTATCCCTTGGGAAAGGGAGTCTACCAATAGTTTCGACTCTTATGTTCCTTTGCTTTGTTTGCAACTCTCCCGTTTCATTTTTAAAACTTGTTTTCTGTCTGGTGCATGTGCAACGTTTCTTTCAAAAGCTGAATGAAGTCGGTGTTTGGGTAATTTGCTTCTTCTTTTCATAAACCGTTCCCCTGGTCAGATAATAGGTTCTTTTCATTGAAGCAACATGTGTGAGCATGGGCTAGAGACCTGCTTATTGGGTTAAATTTGGGATTGTCCTTTTGTCTTTAGTCTCTTTGCGTTTGCATGGTATATTATATTCTTATTATTTGATACACTTCTCTATTTTTCCTATGTCCTTTCTTGATGTTGGTTACTCTTTATGGTACTAGGGTTCTTAACTTGAGGAAGGCAGCAAGAGAAAAAGCTCAAGCCGAGCGTTCAGCAGTAGCTGCTGGTTTCAAGTCTATGCTCCGAGAAAGAGGAGATATAACCGTGCATTCACGTTGGTCCAGGGTATGTTATAATTGTGATTCTGATTTTTAAGCATATGTGAGACGGAAAGAGAGGTAAGGTAAGGTTATTATGAGGGTGATACTTCTAGGTTTAGATGGGATATCTTTCAGCATTAGCCTTTTAGTTAAGGAAAAGACTCTTACTTATTCATGCAATCCAATTAATTTTTCTTTCAGCTGAAAGACGGACTTTTCTCTTTTCTAAATTAAGTGGTGGCATCAAATGAAAGAAAAATTGAATAGTGTTTGCTGACTGATTAACAATTTGGTCTCTATTGCTTAAGAGATTTGGAAAAGCCCCCAGTCCCAGCTGACTATTTTTGAAACACTCTGAAATCAGTCGAAATAATTGTCCCTCGATCATTTGCAGACTTGCTTTGTTATGTAACACCTATACCTGAAGCAACCTAGATAATAAAATGGTTTATTCTCAGTTAAGATCTGATACATGCGGGTACATCAATGGTTGCTTTTTGCTGTTTGCAGGTTAAGGACAGTTTAAGGAATGATCCCAGGTACAAGACTATAAAGCATGAGGATCGGGAGGCTTTATTCAATGAGTATTTATCCGACTTAAAAGCAGCAGATCAGGAAGCCGAGCGTGAAATGAAAGCCAAGAGGGATGAACAGGTACTTAATTATCACCAGCTCATCTACAACCTTGTCCCAATTTCTGTGTCCTGGAGTGGTTCTATGATGTCCCTTCCCTTAGTTGGGATTAAGATTTTATGATAGGTAGGCCTTAGATGGTTCGAATGCTGAAGTATGGGATCATTTCAGCAGTGTCTATAGCCATTTGATGGCAGCTGCTATCATCCGCTTAGAAAGAATTCTGTTTATTAGTGGATAGGAATTTGCTTTTATATGTTACTTGGAAAAATGCCGAAAGACCATGTTAGATGGGGCAGTGGCCTATACATACATTTGTGGTTGTTTGAATTCTCTCCAAACCGCAATTATTATTTGAGTAATTTTTATTTGGTGAAGTTTTGTAAACTTGATAATGTTAGTTTTGTAAACTTGATAATGTTGAATATGGTGTCACTGCACACTATTGGATACCTTTTCACTCATTGTATGGGTAAATTGCCTTACAATTCCACCTTTCTCTTGAGTAATTTTTAAGGAGAGGCTGAAAGAAAGGGAGCGGGAGTTGCGAAAAAGAAAAGAAAGGGAGGAACAAGAAATGGACAGGGTGCGACTAAAAGTTAGGAGGAAGGAAGCAACATCTTCTTTTCAGGCTTTGCTCGTAGAAACAATCAAGGACCCACAGGTATATGTGTTCGCCATGATGTTTGTATGATGTTTATGTGAATATATCAATAGTTGCTCAGCTTTTGCAGTTTGTCCTGCTGCCAGTAAATTTCTGATTGGTGGTCTGAAATGTCATTGATAGTGCTTCCCTCTGCCTCATAATCCCTAATACTTGAAGCCTCCTAAAGTTTCTCAGTTCTACCACAAGTTTGCTATCAACGAGAATATATATCCACGGAGAATTGAGATTACTTTGCAGTTGTGCACTTATTGATTGCCTATATCTGATTAATGGAGCATTGAGTAGGGTAACAACAATTAATACTGATGGAAAAGCAGCTGAATGCCCTATGTTATTCTTGCTCCCTAACTTGTTGGATTTACTTACCTACAGGCATCTTGGACAGAGTCAAAGACCAGACTGGAGAAGGATCCTCAAGGACGTGCAACACACCCTGATTTAGATCCTTCAGAAACTGAGAGACTTTTCCGTGAGCATGTGAAGATGTTGCAAGAGGTAGGTGATTTGCTGAATAAAAACTGCATGTGGCTCAAAATTAAGTATGTTGCATCTTTTTTACGACGGACTCCTAATAGTGTTCCATTCTGTTAAACCTTGTCCACTGTAGCGATGTGTTCAAGACTACAAAGCCTTGTTGGCTGAAGTCATAACTGTTGAAGCAGCTGCAGACAAGATGGAAGATGGGAAAACAGTCCTAGATTCATGGTCAACGGCGAAGCGATTACTGAAAGCGGATCCCAGGTACAACAAGATCCACAGGAAGGAGAGGGAGAGCCTCTGGCGTCGGCATGCTGACGAGATGATTGAAGAAGCTAAAAGCAGGAGTAAGTGATATGGATGCTAAAAGGAATCAAAACGTAGAAGCTCTGTTGACCCAGGGAGGGGAAACCCTCTCTGAATCAAGGAGACCTCAAGACTGAAGATAGCTTGAAATCTTTTTCTCTCTTTTGCGTACGGCCCTGTTTTAGAGATCAGTGGTTTTTTTGGTAGATGTTCCTGTACCAATTTGCTGACAATGAAGATCCCTGATATTAGAAGAGTATGCTTTTATTGTACATTGGAGCTATTCATTTTAGTTGGCGATTCAAGGTGAGCTCATTTAAGTTTGGTTCAAATGCTTGTGCACTTCTTTAGGTCATAATCGGTTGTTTCATTTTCCTTCTTGGCAATGGAAGCTCGACCATAGATTTATGGGTCATTCTTACTTAAGCAAATAGGTTCCGTTCATTCCACCTCCAATTAGATCTTCGAATGGCGAAACGAAGTTCTGCAGACATGTCATTATTTGATCAAAAGATAGAGCATGCTTGTATCAGGAACTTGAATGTCATTAAGCTCCATCCCACAATTGCAGGTTTCTGAGATCAACTGGAATCCCATGATCCACTCATTGTCAGATACACAGACACGACACAGAAACAAAAGAAGAGAGCCAGCCGATTCGTTTCCCATATGCAGGAGACTTCGCATCGTGAAGAATCGAAGTGGCAGTCGTTCATTCAATCATGATCTGCTGAGGGGATTGATCGTCGTACGCTTCTTCTCCCCCGCCTTCAACATCTGCTTCTTCCTTGATACCAGACGCTTCCACCGTTCTCGTTACCCATTCCTTGAGTGGCTCTTCGTTGAGATCGAGCCTCAGCAGCCCTGCAAACATTCCTCCCAAGAAAGCAACCGGCTCCTAGTCCACACAACAAAATCAATGCATAATGTACACACCAACCTCTAATCAGTGATTAACCCTGCACTCACTCACTCACTCGACTCTGACATAGAAAACATACGCGAAACTACTGAACTACAACCTACGCAAGGAAGAATCAGCAGCTATGTGTTGCTTATTTCTACTACAACGCTACAAAGTAACCAAAACAAGTTGCACAAGTCCAAAACCTTGGATGAAAACCATCTTACTTACACTTATCCCCTAAATGTACGGTTGCAGGTGGAGACAATAGAAAAAACGAACCATGAAACAGCAAGAACGAGCGAGACTAAATTCCAGGTCCGAATATCATAGAAAAAAGTAGTCAGACGCTCACCTTGAGAACCTCCTTGATGATAGGATCATCAGTGGGGTTGCAGAAGAGAGAGGAGGCTCCAATCCTAAGCCTACGACCTCTCTTACCCAAACCCACCAACACCCCCATCTCCAGGTTTCTACAGCTTCCATGATTATAATAGCCCAGACATGGCCTCCTCTGTGGTGGCAGCGCTGCCGGGCTCGTCTTCTTCTTCAACACCAGGAGCGGAACACCACAACTCCCGGCAACCACAACCCCCATCACTCTCTGTTGGAAAATTTAAATGGGTGATTTGGCAAATTGATGCTTCCTTGGGTTGAAGAGCGAATCAGAGTGAGAGATACAATACAACTGACCTAGAGGAAATGAAAGGGGGAACCGGAAAAAGATACTGCTGGCTGGTAAGCTGATTCGGGGAGATTGGATTGAATCGAACAGCGCCGGAGAACAAAACCCAGGCGGGTACGCAGGCAACTTCGCTGCTACCGATGTTTTGTTTTTCTTTATCTGTTCTTTTGGTGGGATGACGTCTTCTTTTGGTTTGATCTTTTCTAGTATCTGTCTCCGGAACTTTCTCAGCGTCAATTCGAATAGGTTAGAGTAGATATTTCATATTTGATTATCGAACTCAAAAGAATAATGTAGCTATTTACCGATGTTTTCACACCAAGATTGGTAATCCGGTTTATAAATAAGAAATTGACATTAACTTACAAGATGTATTTTCACTATTTTGGGTGAATTGAAGAATTTTTTTTTAGAACTTCGAAGTTAAACATAGTTACTGTGGAGCACTGTTAGGATGGGTGATCTGATGTGAAATTACTTAAACATGCACTGCAAAACAAAATCCGTGAGGGTCTAGGCCTAAAGCTAAAAAAATCTTGTTGAGAAAAGGTTCGGGATGTTACAAGGTTTTGGTATCAAGACCGGCCTCCCTCTGTCTTCACTTGGATAAGTGATATACTGGGAAGTCGGTGCGCATGTTTTTAACAAGTGGTAAAGGTTTTAGAAACTTATCAATCAAGATTTCCATGAAAACAAAATTTGTATTAGAGCATCCAGTGTCATCTACTAACAGGTGCAAGAGTTCCAAGGTTCTGACACAATATTGTTGCCTTGTGTATGAGTATGAATGGCAAAAGCTATAAGCAAGTTGGTCGACGCCCACCTCCAAACTATGTTGCACTTCAGAAGACGAGTTTGAACGACTTTGAGGGATCCCCTGACCTTAAGGCAGTTGATGCGTGGCTGTTGAAGCTCATCCGTACCATGGATGAGGTGCGCATTGATAACCATGAAGACACGATCACCATGGCTATCTACATGCTCCAGGGAACTGTTACAGATTGGTGGCACCTCCAACCCGAAAGTGAAGTGGTACCTCTAGAGATCACGTGGAACCAGTTTGTGAAGATGTTTCTCGATGAGTACATCCCTCAAATAGTCTGAGAAGATTATAGAGAAGCTAGATTTTATGAAGTTGAAGCAACAGTGGTGGCAGAGTGTCACAGAATACACAGAGTTATTCAAGAAGTTGTGCAAATATGTTGATCCCGTGTACCGGACTACAGCTGGGATTGGAGATCGCTATGTCCAGGGTTTGAGGCGGACTGCAGTTGGGATGGGAGATCGCTACAAAAATCACCCGACTAGAGTCAGCAGTCCAAGGCTGGTGGGCGATCATGACTCTTTGCAATGAGAAGGGAAGAAGGTTGTAACTAGTACGGTATATATTCATGATCGTCGTGCTTTTGCTTTGATTGATCCTCTTGCTAGAACTTAGGCATAGTTCATACAAACCTTAGTCGAATTTAGCAGTACGTACGTACCCCCGTGGGTACTATGCCCAAGGAGAAGAAGAAGAATGCTTGGAGGCAAAAGATGAAGCAAGCTTTGGCCCGAAGCCGTGAGAAGGCCAAAGCTAAGTTGGCCAACCAAGAGGGCCACCTCATGGAGCATAAGATGGGAGGCTAAAAGCCTCGCCCCGAGAGTGTGGTGGATCCACTCTCGGTGGCATCACGTTCCAAGACGTGATTGATCCTCAACCGCCAAGCTAATGACGATAAATTAGCGCTTGTTGGGAGGCAACCCAACGAAGGTTTGTTTTCTTTTCCTTATTTTCGTGTTTGTGTCTAGTGAAGAGTTCAAGTGGTCGAGTGGTATCCCCGTGCCGAGTTTTGTGGTTTTGCGTTTTAAGGTTGAGTTGTGATTGATTAGGAGGCACGGTGGAATAGGTTGAGTCAAATTTTTCTCAGAAGTGCCCTGTTTTCACTGACGTTCACAGACGACAACGCGTCCGTGGACTGGGCGCTTCTGCATGTTCACCACCTGTCGACCAACCTCAGTTCACGGACGAATTTGAGTGTTCATGGTCTCTAAGACCGTGAACAAGCCAACACGTCCGTGAGCTCCGTGCCTCGCCTATAAAAGGGAGGTGAACGACGACTCTTCACGACCCAAAACTCGCCGGACAACCGTGAAATTCTGACGGTTTTTCATTTTTTCACCCATTTCCAGAGAGCAAAACCCAAAACCAACTTCATACCCATTCTCCATTCATCAAAACCGACCTGTTCTGCGTTTTTGGGGAGATTTGGGGCAAGTCTTTTCCGGTCAAGTCGCCGGCGGCGAGTCTCCGACGAACTTCCGACAAAGCTCTGGCTACCCCTCTCCGGCCTGTTTTTCAGCCATTTTTCCCTTCCTCGCCCGCGCCTCACTTGCTCCTACGTCCTACTTGTGTCTCCATGTTGGTTTTTCAGCTCTACATTGTTAATTTTGGGAGAATCGGATCAGGTAATGAAGTGAGGATGATTTTCATGCTTTGAATGTTGAGCCTAGATTTAGGGCGAGGAATTAGGTGAACTAGATTGATTGAATGGTGGAATGTTATTGCTTGAGCCTAGTTGAGTCTTGGTGGGCGTGTTGGAATTGATTTGCCTTTATTTTTAGAATTTGCCCACCAAGTGCTATTTTGTGAATGCATGTAGACCTTTATACTGTTTGGTGGATGGTAGCCACTATGGTTTGAATTTTTGTATAAATGAACCATGAATCACCCAAAACCATGCCACGGTGTGCTTGAGCTTAAATGTTTGCGTGGAAATATAAGTGTTTGGGTGGGTGGGGGGGGGGGGGGGGGGAGAATCTCTTTTCCTCCCAATGAGCAGTATTTGATGATTGTTTCCACTTATGGTGCTTGTTTAACTCCTTGTTGCAGGATGGTCAACAAGAACCACTCGTATCATCTGGCACTAAAAGACTGCCCCGCAATGGAGAATGAGGTGCAATTTTGGGCGACGGCGAACTCCGGTGAACATTGAAAACTCGATTTATACATTGGTTATATTTCTCTTGTTAGTTTGAACTTAAAACCATTTGTGTTGTAATGAATATTTGGATTTTGAAGGACTTGATGTAATGTGTTTGTGTTGAACATTTGGAAGATGGACAATTGATTTATCTTCCAACTTTGAATGCTTGTTTTAATTAATTGTATTTGGTGTATAAAATTGAAATGGTAGGTGGAAAAGTACTCACATCAGAAGCAAAAAAATGCACCAGCCCTATGCCAAATTTCCAGCGACCAGACTAGAAGGCAAAAATGGGCAGCAACTACACATTTTCGGCTATGGGTAGTAAACCGAATCGAACCAAACTATAGCTCAGTTCGAATTCGATTGGGGTGTAGGCCAATTCGGTATATACTGGTTTGGCTTGATTTGAACCAAACGACTGAACGTCCGCCCCTACCTCTTGGGGTGGAATTCTCAAGTCCGTGTGGTCCACGGATTTGGACCCTCAAAGTTTGTGGGCCCCACGAATTTATTCATGCTAAATCTATCAAAATCCATAATGCTTGGTTTCTACGTACTAAATTCATGATGAATTCCACAAAGCAAACGAAACCCAAATGAAAGGTCGTGATTTAATTTTATACATCTAACGATCTCAAATGTGATCTCGTCGCTTTTCCTGATCACTAATTAGTAATTTCTAAATGTGTCTAATAGCCGGGAAGGCGGAAGACTTAAATAGTTAAATTCAAATGAAAACAAACCCCAACGCCAAGAAATTCAGAGAGAACAAAGCGAGGGAAAATGGCAGCCTTTCACGACGACGACGACGAGTTTCTTTCTCAGTTGGCTTTCGCAGAAGCCAACGCTCTGTCCAGAATCAGCACCGCCGACACCAACAAGCGCCGGATACTCGACGGATACAATCCCGAGGAAGACGAGGAGAAGCAGCAGCAACCGCTGAAGAAGATGACTGTGGCGACGGATAGCGCGGCGAAGATGAAGGAGGAGGAAGGAGCTTATATGGCTGCTCTCAGAGGGAGCAAGAGCCTCTCCTGGCAACAAAATCCTCTGAATCGCTCCAGTTCTGGAATGAAGGCCGTCGCAGCATCTGGTTCTGCTTCCCGATCTCATTTTAACGGCGGGGGTGATTATGATCGATCGGAGCGGCAGCAGCCGTCGGTTTCAGAGAAGGATTGCCCGTGCGGACAGGGAGCTTGTGTCGTTTTCACAGCTAATACCGAACGGAACCGAGGCCGCCAGTTCTACCGATGTCCTCTCAGACAGGTGAACGGCCACCAGTACTTCTTGTTCGGACTTGATGTTCTAGGGTTTCCGTTTCGCTAGATTTAGCTCTTACATTCATAAGGAGAAGAGAACCTGAATCTTTCAACGGTTGCAATCAATTTGGTCACAGCCAAATTGAGCTGAAGTTTTCCATTGTCGAATTCGCATAATGATCGAGACAGATGGCTTGAATTGTTTGGCACTGGTGACGAACTTCGAATTTGGTGGTTTTCAGGAAAATGGAGGTTGTGGCTTCTTTGAGTGGTGCGACAAAGCTTCAGGGAACAACTCCTCAGTGTCCAATTCAGATCTTCCTTGTCCTTGCGGTGCTGGATTTTGCCTGCTCCTTACTGCAAAAAATGGGAAAAACATCGGCCAGCAATTTTACCGTTGCCCTGCTAGCCAGGTATGTTCATTTCTTCTGAAAACAGAAGCTTTGCGTAGCACCATCCTGTATCCTTGTTTGAAGTTCTTTTAGATGTAGCCAACCATTTGTATGAATCTGTAAGAGCAATGGAATGCTGGCCTTGATGACTGCTATGACAATCCACTGCCTTTCGTGTTTCTTTTGTGCTCCAGCTGAGATTTTATTCTTTGGACTTGAAATGTCTTGAGCAGAGCTACTGCTTTTCCTGTTTGTCATTCATCACCCATTGGAATCTAATGGTTCCTTCTGGTTTTATTGTGCTGCCATAGGAAAGTGCTTGTGGGTTCTTTAAGTGGTGCAACGAGACAGATGCGGCAGCCAGTAATCCTACTAGCACTTCCGAAAGCAGCAAAATTGTGCATGGAGCAAGAACAGGGTCTGCCTGCTTCAAATGTGGTAATCCTGCACACTGGGCAAAGGATTGTCCCATATCTTCTTCATCTGATTCGCCAGCCGCAGCAGCAGCAACATCATTTGGAGGAAGAAGGCCTGTCTCCTCGTCCCCCAACTCTGCCTGCTACAAATGTGGTAAACCTGGGCACTGGGCAAGGGACTGCACTTCAAGTCAATCAACAGGTGCGACTCGCAGGTATTGAAGATACCTTGATTGGGGGCTGATTTTGCAGCTGCAGCATTACTGTATTAGGTAGGTATTCTGCAATTGTAATATCATAGTGCGTCTCTAAGTCTAAGCTACGTACTGTATCCATCAGATTCAGATAGATGGTCGTGCTCGTGTTGCTTCACAATGAGGCTCTTCGTTACCAGCTTGATGGAGGAGAAAATAACTTGTTTGATTGTTATAAACTTACCAGAGAGGGTAATATTGTTTTACACAGATCTTTGACAGTACTAGAAGGCTAGAACTAAGTTTGAAGCTGAGCTCTGTGCTATTTAAAGTTAACAAACACGCGTGACTGTGTCTCTTAGCCGCGGCTATTTCAGAACAACTGCTGCATTCCTCAGAGCCAGGTACCTCTGCACGTACTCATTTGGAAGTGCCCTTATTTGCTTGAAGACCTCGGTATTTGCATAACGAAGGTTTGTCCTTGGATCATGATATGGTGCCTGCGATAAAAATATAGAACGGGCAAAGTGTTATAAACGCCATTAGCCTTGCAAGGTTATTAGGAAAAAAAACCAAAGGCCTCCAGAATCTTAGATGAGTTAGAGTTTGTAAACAGTAGAAATGAAAGTCAAAGCATGTGTTTGTTAAGTCTCCAAATGCAGAAGAGCAAGGGGAGCTGAGCTCAAAGGATGAAGTTGAGAAGCAAGTTAATTCGGATCACTAATGTTCTGAAATGCAAGACACCACCAAATCTATTCTCATTGAATACTACTGGTGGTAAGGTTTCTCGAATTGTCTGTCAACATTCTGTAAACAAGGCGGAACTCATACGAAGTCCCAAGATCAGCATACCTCTAACCCAGTGATGTCGCATATTTTCATGGACGGATGCATCGAGGGCGGTGATTCGATGTTGACGTCTGCACAAATGTGAAAAACTGTGATCAGAAGAACATTAAATAAATAAGCAAAGGTGGGGTTTTTAGGAATGAGCATTTCTCAGGTGCTAACAGTTAGGTTCATCAGGAGGATAGTTTTGGAGATTCTCGGCCTGGAGGATCTGCTTCAAGTGCTTCCAGTGGCGGCCTCTGGACTGACCCTTTGGGTACTTTTCATACATCTGTACCTTCTTGAAGCTCAGGTGTGTTGGCAGCACCAACTCTGCCTCTACCACTTCTGATTCCATCTGCAAACGGAAAAAAGGTAGGCCACGATCAACTGCTGGAGATGAACATTCAGGGTAGGTTGCACGTTTTGGCACAGGGAAACATATGAACAATTGGCATATATTAATTAATAATAACACAAACAGGTCCAGCAACAGCAACAGCAACAGCAACAGCAACAATACAGAATTATGAAATGCAATTCAGAGGACTGAACACAGTGCAAGAAATCTGCAGCTTTTTTCCCGAGCAAAACTGGAAGGAAAGGGAACCAACCCTAGGTTTAGAGACCGAACATTCAAATCCCTGATTCTTTCACGCTCGCAGAATTCGAGAATCTGAGGAATCACGAAAGAGTTTCTGGCAATTTGAAACTAAGCTTTTCAGTATTGAGAGTTGCGTTATGATTTTTCGTTACCTGGTCGGCTCCGGAAACTTAGGCCACCGCGCCGCGGGTTGAGGATTAGCGTGGGGGCGGAAGGGAAAGTGGCGGATCCGGCCCGGGTCCCTCCGGCTCTGGTGTCGCACTGATGACACCTGCAGCTGGTCGAGGGAGGGGAAAGGAAATCGGGTTGGGTGGAAAACCGGGGCAAATTTGTGGCCTCGTTGTCTAGCTCGTTTACGGGTTCTATCGATAGTATATCTGGTTTATACCAGTATAATAAAATATATAAAAATAAAAAAGTATTGAAATTTTAAAATATATAAATATTTTTTTAAGGATATGAAAACATATTTGAAGACAATTTACTTACAATCTATTTTCATATATAAATAAAATACAACATTTCAAACAAAATAACAAATACTCATATTTAACTTTTAAATTCATTAAATAAATCAAATTTTTTTTTTAATAATTAAGTTCACTACAACAACATCATTTTGTTTATAAACCAAAAATCGATCATGTTGATCATAACAGTGGTATTCACGTTGGTTTCATGACCGACATCAATTGAACCAGGTTCAACCAGTCGACATTCCACCGGCATGACAACCATGGTAGTGAGAGGGTTACACGTTTTGGGTTACTGACTTACGGTGACCTCATTAAGGGTTGTCATCGTGACTATCTGTCAAATTAATGGTCAAGACTGGATGTGGGTAATTTTGGAAACTAATTTTCTACCCACATGTGATCTCTCCCTCTCTCTTTAAATATCCATCCTAGTGTTTTCATCGATCTCTCTCCCTTATATGCCGACAATCGTTGTTCTCTCCCTATCTCCCTCATCCGGCGATCCTTTATATAGCAGCCTCCCTCTGTTGTCGGTCCCTTCTCCCCTTTCTACTCCTCTCCCACTATCCCCCTCCTTCCTCTCGTTCCATCTTGTCTGTAAGGGCGAGCAACCCCTTATGTCGCTGAGGTTGTGAGCCCCTTATGCCGCATCCGTCGTGTCTCTCCCAAAAGCCGAGGAGCATTGGTATTGGTTCGTGTTATGATATTGGTTCATATTAGGATATTGGTTCGCCTCCCTCTATCTTTCTCTCGAATGTATATGTTTTTCAAAACTCATATATGAGTTTTGTATTATGATATAGGTTCGTGTTGAATTTGTATTTGCTCGCTTTGAATTGGTATTCGTTCGTCTGAACTGGCATTGGTACATCTTATAAGCTAGTATTGGCCGTCTGGAAGTCGTATGAATTTGTTTTGAACTAGTATTGGTGTTTTTTATATTGTAGTGTTTTTTTACTGAATTGGTACTGATATCTTGTTTTATTTTTGTAGTGTTATTGGTTCATTTGAACTGTTATTGGTTCGTCAAACGGAGACAGAGAAGAATCAAGAAGAAGGTATAGAGGTGGTCGGGGAGCTGCTAAAGTGAGAGAAAGGAAAAGAGAGGGTCACTTGAGAGAGAGCACATTTTAATTAGTATGTATCGATAATTTCTAAAAATATATTTATTAAAAAGGTAGTTAAAGGTAGTCACCATATCCGTTCAAATAAGTGAGGAAAGGGTTAATAGTCGAATTGATTTATACTGATTTAACCTTATTTTACATGGATATGTAGAAAAGCCAATTTGAGGGTCAAGACCTAAACCTTATGCTGTATCTTAATTAATTTCGATTAGGTTAGAATAATTTAGATAGTAGATAGGAAGTTAATAGGTGGTTAAGATAATTAAAGTATTAATATTATTTGTAAACTAAGAAAAAAAAAAGGTAAGTTAAGAGGCCAGATTTTGTATTATTTTTAAACATTAAAAATAAATTCCGAAATTTTATTTTAATTTCATTTAAAAATAAATAATACATATTTGATTGGATTGATTTTGAATTTTCATGACTAATATTTTTTTAAACTCGTGCGGTATGGCCAAGTGTCGAAGATGGTGAAAATAAGTGTTGCACTTTTATGATAACCGAGGACGACAATTTTAGTGATATCATTTGACCACAAATTGTTAATAATGCCATTGGAAGTCATTGTAAGATGCCATGATTGACTAATTATGAACGTGACATGAAAACGTGAATCGTTTATAAAAATGTTGTAAATCAATGATAATGTTATTAAAACCGTTATCGATGATGTGACATAAATTAATAATTCATTCATAAGCGTTGATGATAAATTGATAAATCATTAACAATTGATCTAAAATTTCTAATATGGTGATATCAATGGGTAGTGCTCTGTTCAACCTAGGGATTCATATATCGTTATGAGGTCGATTGAATCAACTCCCTCGGGGATTACCTCGACTACATGATAGGAGTGACCCGAAGACGCTGATAATGTGCTCTAAGGGGATTATCTCCGTCCTAGGTCAAAAGCTCAATAAACATGAAGTGGAATCCAAACTCATGCAATTCATGAAAACATCCATCAAATAGATAAAATCATCAATCAAACAAAGAATATGTCACATACATCAAATTCAAACCAAAATCTAGATCTAGGGTTCATCAACCTAAGAGAAAGAGGTCTAGTTCATAGAGAGAGAAGAGAGATTACAAAAATAGCTCAAGATCTTCAACTTCTAAGTTTGATTCCTTGATTCCAAGATCAATCCAAGCCTCCAATTAAGTTACAAGATCACTCAAGGTCACTCTCTCTCTCTCTCTAAAAACTCATCTTTGGGGTTTTGGGTCGAAAAGCTAGAGAGAGAACCAAGTTCTTCTCCAAAATCTGCTCACCCTTTTCTCTCCCAGATGTTGTCTTTTTAGATGCCATCCAAATCAGCCTGTCAAATGGCGCGAGGATTCCGCATTGCATGACAGCTCCACCATCAGGGTTAGTGAGGCAGAACACTATTGCTTTGAATTCTTACTCATTCAGTATTCCGCCTCCTAATTTTTTTTGTATGTTGTTTTCCATCAAATATTATCCGAGCACTAGAGGGAGTTGATCGGAGGCTACTACGATGCAGGAGACAACAAGAACTTTGGGTTCCTGATGGCGTTCACCACAACGCTACTGTCGTAGAGCATGATCGGCTTCACGAGGACCATGGGGCCTGAGGTGAAGAACGCAGTGAAGGCCCTATGGTGTGGGCGAACTAGATCCTCGTAGCAACGACTAAATTGACAAATGACCAAACACATCTTATTTAAGAGGCCTAAAAGATGTATAATTATGATTGTATCATTTATACTCAATGTTATAAGTATATTAACCACTTCATTTTATTTTCCACATGGAGAAACCATGGTATACACTTACATCTTGAAATGAGATGAAATCAAAGCACTTGTACATTAGTCGACCAACCTTTGAAATATTGTTTCCTAAACAAAGGCAAACAAGACTAAATCAAGGCAAAGGTAGTTGATAACATTCAATTTGAACATGTTTTACCTTTCATTTCTTGATTGTTTAGCTTGATGTTTATCATAATTTAGCCTATTTTAATCTAGGTTGTGTTCCTTTGTCACATTTCAGGTCCTAGCACGTAAAGTGAAGCATAGGCGCAAGTTTCAAGTCAATGAGAGATCAATTGGCGATTCAGGGGAAGAAACTCGGGCATGACCTGAGCAAGAATGGATTTAAATCTCATTTTATGGACAAATAATAATTTAATCTTGTCATAATGAGAAAGATGACAAGACTACGAGCGTCTAGGATCAAACGACCACTAATTCTGAGTCCGGACGAAGGAGAAACGAGACATTTAAGATAGGGGAACATGAGAAATGATTTCCACGGGTTGGAAGCCAATTCCACTGTCGTGGATTAGGAGTTCAGACCGTGGATTTTGAGCAGGATAAATCCACGATTTGGTGAACCTATTCCACTACCGTGGAACTCAAAGGGTGACCGTGGAACGTGCCGATAGCGAGTATAAAGGCCCCTTTAATACGTTTTTGGAGGGAGATAGCTGAGTTTTGAATCTCAAACACCCAAGGGACGAGCCCTAGAGAGAGAGCAACTTGGAATCATTCTTGGAGCTATTTTGGAGGATTTATTTGCTATTGGAGCTCGGGAATCAAGCTTGGAGATGGAGATTGAAGATCAAGATCAAATTTCTGCAGTCTCTCACTTCTCTATGGAGTAATTTTCCTTCACTTAGGTTTTGAGGAACCCTAGTTCCATGTGTTAGGGATTATGCTTGTACTGACTTTTGAATGCTATACTGTTTGATTTTAATCAATTGAGGCATGATTTGTTGAGTCAATTGGATCCTGATTATATTCTTTTGATTTCTTCTTTAACCTGTGATAGAATGAATCTGATTATGTTAACAGAGCTTTCTTGATTGATAGTACTGAAATGATTGTGCGAGAGTCAGTCGATTCAATGCTTTGTACTGGTATACATTCCAAGTAGTGGAGATCTGTGTGAATTGCCTTAGCATTCTATCCCGGTGAAGGTTAGTCGCCTGCCGGGTATTGTGTCTAAGAGGGCTTGGTCAGTTTAAGAGATTCCAAGCTATTATCGGATCTTCCGCGTTTAATCAACAACATAACAACCAAAGGAAATTACAACTTGGACATAATTGATGAGCTAGGGGGAATCATACCTAAGTGAGTTCCCAACCTGTAATTAGTAGGTTGACCTTAGTTTAGTTGGTAGAGTAGTCTAGTAAATCAATCCTTAATCTGGTTTGCTAGATAATGAACTAAAACTGAGTAATAGTACATCTAAAGACCCGTGGATTCGATATTTATTACTTGTGACACTATACTGCAGTCCCTTTCATTGGTGTCACTATCAAGGATCCTATGAAATGTTGAGGCGAATGAGTGCTGTAGAAGAATTGGATGAAGATTATTGCTCGTATGGTTGTCAAAATGGTCCAGGAAACAAAAGATCTCTTCATCTCCATTAGTTTGCAAATAGTGGAGTATAGATGAAAATTCAAAAATTCGTACATTACAAGGAATCCACTATCAACACATTTTTGTCTATGAATGTTGTAGTGAAGATGATCATGCGAGAGGAAATTGTGGGATCATACGCGAATCTTAACTAGCTAATGTCGACTATGTTGGTCAAAACTATTCACAAATTTGCAATTTTAATCAATATAGCTACCAATATAACTCATGATAAATAGAAAGTACTGTTTTAGACGCTCATATTATGACCAGAACTTCATAGTTTTCACACAACTATCATAATAGTATCTTGAATTTGTTTTATGATCACTCAAAATGT